AGCATGAATCTTCCAGTAAAGCCAATCGACAGCTGGTCAAGAGGAATTCACCGTCGTCTTCTGGTGGAACTGTACATTTTTAACCTTCATTAGTAAACTGTACGAAGAAACACGATCTTAGCTATGGGATGATGTTTGTCCCCTATTTTATCAAATGACTACATGACTCAATAAGAAAGGCGCCTAATACAAGAAGCAATTTTATCTCCCAAATTATTAACTAAATAAATGGTTGACAACATTACTCAATGGCAGCATGACAAAGAAAGCCTATGAGAAATCTTGACGTTGATGAATGGAAACGACATGAATATCAAGTTCGCCATGCAATTAGAAAAGGATGCTGGAAGCAAATTGAGTCAGAATGTGTATAGGAAACCAGCAAATGCGTAGTTCCTTTTAAATTTCTTTTGAAACCATACTTGTAGGGTTAAAGTGGGAGCTATGAAATCCATGACAATAAGCAGCCTGCGTCTCGTAGATGCTAGTCATCGGGAGCAGGAACTGAGGATCTTAAGGGCAATTTTAGGTGATAATGGATTAATTGAGAGTTGCTTTAAAATAGTAGCGAATAGAATGTAGGGAAACGTATTTTTGGGGAAACATAGGCAGCTGAACCGCTCGACCATGGCCCGGATGTTTCCGTCGTGCCAGCTTTTGAAAATGATAGGTGAACTAATAAGGAATTGGGACAACAGGACAATTTATAAGGAGAAAATAACGCTTTCCTCAGTCATGCTATCCTTTCGGGAAATGTCGGACCCACTTCCAAATCGGGCTGCTATAAGGATTTCTGTTCATGGGGTAGCGTCCAGGTAAAGGAGACCTTTCGCATCATACATAAGAAGTTATATGAACATAAAACAGCCTGCAAATATTTGTGAGCTCAAAAGTCAGAACAAGCCTAACGCACATCTCACACAATAAACCAGATAGTATGGTATAATGCCAAACGTTTAGCTGGATATGGAGACTTTAGACGTAAGCGGAAAAGTAGTGAATCTATAGAAACAAACAATACAGCCAACACCCTGAATAGAAGGAACGAGTGTAGGAAATTAATTTGAAACTACATGTGGCTGTTGGATAGGATCAGGGAGGGAGTAGGGAGGGGACAAGATGTACCGCCGAACAAGAGAAGGGGGCTTGATTAACCTCAATTCTGTTTATCACTCTCAAACAGAAGATAAGTTTTATAGATGAGGATGCAGCTGTTCTGTCATAATTGCATCCTCATATGTCATCCGCAGCCATTTCACCTTTTATTGGTAGGAAAAGTATATGATCTCCAACCAAATCATATAATGTCCTAGTAGACCTAGTCAAACTATATAAATAAGTATGATTGCTTGATGAATTATCGTAAAATGTGGTGTCCTGCTCTGACGATGTCCGTCCCATGTCGGATGAAGGCTCAGCAAGGATTCATCGGGGCCGCAGGGCGGTGCGCCGAGGAACTATTCTCACAAATCTACAATCACAGCTACAAGACAATCCCCCTACAGCTTCCAGAGAGGCCAACTTACGAATCCCTTCCACTCGCCTCTTCAAACGAAATTAAAGGTGCTCCAACATGTTCCAGTAGAGCCAATCGGCAGCTGGTTAAAGGGAATCCTCCATCGTCTTCTCGTGAGATCGATCTTTGAATATCTTCTTCCGAAATGGAAGTAAGCTCAACAAGAAAGTCTTACTTTCCATTCAGTTCAAGCAAATTAAGAATGCTAGAAAACCGAGCTCTTCACGTCGGTTTGGATGCAAGTTTGCAGGACTCGGTTGTCTCTGGCCTCCTCATCGGAAGGTAAAATATTCTTCCCTCTCTCGAGACAACCCTCAAGAGATCGTCTCTGGGTCATAATGACAGCGGGAGCCTTGCGATTAAGAGATCAGAAAAAGGGGTCTTTGACAACTGTGACATGGCCTTTGAGTCGGCAGAATTACCGACCTCTGGAAAGCTCAACTTGGCCTCTGGCAGTGTCGCAAGACGCGACAACAGACCATTTTGTCACTGACTTGACTCACATTTTTCCCAGTAAGCGCATTTTTGCACAATGTCATTTGCCCATATACGCATATTTTGCTTGGCCCGGACAACTAAATAACTCTACTTTTCCCATTCGTTCTCTCGCTCGCCTGCTTTCCGTCAGGGCCAAAACCAATTCTCAAAGATTAACCGAATTCCCGAAGTTTCCTGCGCCTGGGAGCCAAGACCTGGAGGGGTTGGGGCCGGCCCGAGGGGGGAGTGAAAGTAGCAAACTGTCGGACAGACCGAGGGGAAGCAAGAATATGAACGCTAGTGCGCTGTTGGCCGTGCGTTGAACAAGGCGAGAGAGAAAGAGAGAGAAAAAGAGAGAGAGGGAAGTGAGTAAATATATGACATGAGTAACAGTGCTGTACTAATCTTCTGCCTATCGGCATATGTGTTTGTGTGTCTGTCTGTCTGGTCTCATGTACGGGCAAAAGTAGGTTTGAGTGGAGTTGTCGACGTGAACACTGGCATGTGCCCATCCTGCCTCATGTTGTTCGTCATCTTCTTTCTTTATGCGCTCTCTCTTTTCTGCCTCCTCACCTACCCTCTGTCTCCTCCGCTTTGTTGTGTTATGGCTGTCCTCACGCAGTGGGGACAAAGTCTAGGACAAGACGGGATTTGGGAGGAGTTGAGATGATAGATTGCGTCAGGGGTCTGCTGGTACCGTGGTTCGGGGAAGATTGGCCTCAAAAATGTACTGATGTAGAGCGCTAACCGGCTGGAAGTGCTGCCCCTCCCCCGTTTGACTCATGCACATAAACCTTTGGGACGATTACACACAAACCCACGAATAGGACAGGCGTTCGATTGGGCAAGATCATATGTTTATCCCACTGTTTATGCTTACATTCATGTGTATACATGCATATATATGTGTGTTTGTGTATGTGTGGGTTTATGCAAAATAGTAGGCAAATGAAGTTGCCATTGCCTCCAAATGCATACCTCAATTGGGATGGCGAAGTGTGTGGATGAAGGATGGAGGAGTGGGATAATTGGTTGACTTTGGCATGCCTGCATGATGGGCCAGCCGGCCGAAGAGATAGTGCCGAATGGACGGCCGGGTAGATGGACGGTCTGTAGGAATGTACAATTTCGCCCAACTTGCTCGGCCACATGCTACCCCCTGTGTAGTTGGCCCGGTTCGAGGCGAAGTCTTCTCAACCTGCCCAGCCTCAAGTGATAATAAATTGCTGCCATTCTCGGTGTAGATTTTGTCATCAGCTCAATCACGTTATTAAATCCCTCTTTCAATCATTCGTTCAGCCATCTCAACTCGTTTTGCATAAATCCAGCCACAACCTCCAGGCCCAACTGGGCAGAGTACCGGGCTGAGCTCTGGCAGGCACAGGGGCTGGGAGATGGAGCTCCGTTGTGTGAGGCTGCCAGGGATGCTGGCACATCCAAGTCTTCTTCTGCCTTTCAAAATTTATAAATAATGTCTTCTAGACCGGGAACATATTCTCGCCTGAGTTTCAGAGGATTTTGCATTTGGCCTGGATTTACGCAAGTCGAGCTGCTTGTATGTGCATCCAAGTACGTATGTGTGTGTGTGTGTGTGTTTGTGTGTTTGTGCGTGTGTGTTACGAGTGCCTTCGGCGCACGTGCCATCACCTACTGACACTGGCTGACAAGCATTCTAAGACCCTTTGTTAAGGCTGGAGTCGGTGTTTGCTTGCAAATTTGCACACATGCGTGTGTGTTTGTATGCTTGTGTGTGTGTGTGTGTTTTTGTGTGCTCACACTTGGGCACATAACTGTATTCCACTAGGCAGTTGGTTCGGTGTGACCAGGCATGACACCGGATGAAAGCTTGACGATGCCGATGTCCCTGAGGTGTCAGTATCATAATTGCTCCCTTGTCAAGCGCGAATGCAAATTGAAGGGATTAGTTCAACTGTCGGTTGGGAGGTGAGAAAATGTTTACCTTTTGCTTCTCCTTTTTCCGCGTGCGGGGAATATAAACGCTGAATAGTGTATTTTATGATTGATTTACAACCTGGCCCTAAAGATGCTCAAGAGTTTGGCATAAACTTCACCCGAAACTACTGCATAAGCCCCAAGAAAAGCTGCTACCACAACCTCCACAAGCAGCTCATATTCTCTCATTTACACATGATCTCATGTTACCATATCGAAATGTTCGGGCTTCAGTGACGGATAATTTGCTCATCCAAAACGAACTCAAGAGAAAGCTCAATCTTATGTGACGTCAAACACCCCTGGACGGATTCGAACCCAGGTTTCGCTGGTCATTGAATGAACTTTTGGTTATTATAATTCGATTTACATTAGAAAAAGGCGAGTTGAAGTACTTCAAAAATTGGCCTGATTTAAATTTATACAGATATACCAAGAGATTCATCTGCATAAATTCAACTTACAATCAGCTTTATTCTGCCTACAAGTAACCTTGGAAAACGATTACCCATTTGTAGTTCACAATATAGCACCTTTAGTGATGTATTTTTAGTCACTTTTTCATAATTTTTAAAAACTCAAGAGTTACGTTAGAATCCTTCTTTGCCCTGGTGATGCCTTTGAATTGACCTGAGAGACGAAACCTTAGCATATTTTCACCCTAACCGAACCAGGGTGTCACGAGGACTACGTTCCAGTAAAATAAAAATGACATCAGGTCAAGGAGAATCTGCCTAGTGAGATAAGTATATGCTAATCTGTATCAGATAATTGTATTAAAATGGAGAGTCAAATTAAGTCTTATCTACTAAGTGATTCTTCGAAAATTAGCTAATCTGCCATCAAAATTCAATCATTCTAGATTCACTTGAAGTGATTTATTAAAGAATATAGGAATTTTTCCATTCACGGCTGTAAATAGTCACGGATGCCTGTGGTTCACATGAAAGATGCGACTTTCAAAAATAGTCAAGCATTTCCCAAATCACATTTATAATGGAATTATTGGGGAAGCAGGCATATATTTGCCAAAATCATCTTAAAGCGTGACGTATATTTCGTGTGAAAATACTTCGAAACCATCAGTAATCGTTGAATAAAAAGAAACACACGGAACCAACAACAATGAGCCAACTTTCCGGCAAGTTTAATTACACTAGGTCACATAGAGTGATAAGGACTGATAGTTTAATTTTTCCACAACGCTATGAATAGGCCTCATATTTTCATTGAATTTCACAAAGTTTTGCTTCTCAAAAGGTATTCTCATTTAGGATGGACTTTTTGAGAAGCAATCTATCTGAAATTCATATGCTTGTAAGGAAATTCATCTACTATTACTTCATCACCGAATTCGTCCTAGGCTAAATACAGTTACTAGCCAAGACTTACCGATAGTTCCGAAACCTAATTTAAGCAAATATGCCTTGCCTGTCCCTTGACTTACTTCTCTACTCAAATGCTGTTAGTAGGCAGTTGATAAAAGTTAGCAATGGTTCCTTGATTATGAGAAAGGATCATCTAAGAAGTGCAACATTTCAGAGGTCAATGTAGTCAATTGAAAAATCCATGCTTAGTAAGCCCTGCACAGATTTGACAGTTTTTGAATGCCTTTAATAAGATCTGTATCAATCCTAGGATGCATAGAGTGATGAAGGAAAGATATTGGAAGTTTTTCACAATTAGATATGTTGGATTAATGCTTACATTGAATTCCACTTATTCTTATCTTACAAAAATTATTCTCATCATGTAAGAACTACAATTTCGACCCTCCTTTGTCCTAGCGGGAATCGAAGTTATGGTAATTTGTCGAAATTAAACGCTGCATTACCAGGATTCGAGTCCCGCTGGGAATGCTGATAAAGGACAGTGAGGAAAGTTCTAAACCATAAACTATCCTGGATAAGAAGACATTTTGGTAAGCAAGTCCTAGTGAAATTAAATAGCTTGCTTTAAAATTGAACTATCCATCATTAAACATCTTATGCGACAGGTTCTTATTCAGAATCTACTGACATTTTTAAATATGTCTTTGCCGTCATTAGTAAAATTTTCCTCAAGTGTAGGTTAGTAGGTTAATCGAAGATATGGGTGCAGTAGACAACTGGTTTGACCTCATTTCTACACTTCGGTCGTGTTGTCAGGGCTTATTCGATGATACTCCTGATATTTCCCTGCTTAGAAAATGACGCCAATTCACCGAATAGATAGATTCACAATATTAGCATATAAGGGGGGCTCATCTCAATCACACAGCTATGATAATGAGAACTTAGTTCTCGTTTATAAATAGATTTTTGAGACTACCAGCAGATCATATATATGAGATATATTAACCCTATTTCGTCTAAGGTGATGAATAACTAGTAGTTGGATTTTCCTCATAGTGCTGGGAGTAGGCCTTACATTTCCGATGAGTTTGATATAGCATTGCTTGCCTTCAATATCGTATCTGTCCCTTGATTCATGGGTATCCGTGGTCGTGATAAGTGTCTCCACGATACTCACTATTCGGTATCGAATTAAGCCGAAGTGCTGATGATTTCAGTTCTAGCCAGGTCGAAGTTGCTTTCCAAGCTGGATGAGATGGTCGTTCGGGAGGCAAGGCTAAGTGTCAAATTAAATATCATCGTAAGGTTTTCTTATCACGTTTTGGGAAAACGTAGCTATCAAACGGTCGTAGATATAAAGACCAAGATGGTGTAGCCTTCTGTTTGATAGCAGTATCTTTTAGCTTTATAGTGTTGGTTCGACCTCGCTTCCGCAACTTGCTCGGAGCGTCAAGGAGACCTCTTGGAACGTACCGAGTCCTGTGTCCTCTGCCTTAGTACTCGTGATTTCCAGTATCGGACCATTGACTTGGTACATTCCCAAATGCTTCGTCGGTATCGTCAGTAGGAGTTGCAATCATCCGTACATAGTTAAAACTTATCAATTTCACAAGTGAAGGCAATCCTCTTGAACAATTTTCTCTTCTTCGTATTGGAGTAGAATTTCGATTGTGTCCGACTGTCGTTGAATCACTCATCAACCCTATTTTTTGTTCTAACTTCTAGCATTGCAACTCCTTCTTTCACTCGCACTTCATATGTCCTATCTACCTATTCACGCAATTCTATGCTCTCGTTTCCTCCAATGTAGTCCAAGATTGTGTTGTTACAAGTAGGTTTAGTGGTAGTTCTGTGCTGACAATTGCACTTATTATTGACGATGTCGACTACGATGCCGGCGAAACGTTTCGGAATTCACTAAGTCAATGGTCCGATGCTGGGCATCATGAATACTATGGCAGGGGACACAGTACCAGGTGCGTTTCACAAGACCTCTCTAACGTTCCGACTAGGTTGCGAAAACGAGGTCGAACCAG